GAGATAAACAGAGTTAAAGAGACGTTCTGTTTGTATTTAATGCTCGCGTTTCACCTTTTTAGTAGTTGAAAATAAAGAGCATTCTACATAAGGTAGGATTACTCTATCATAGCGAGATCAGACAATGAAAGCCACTTACTTCTTAGGCTTCGTCTCAGCATGGCGGGCGGCAGCTCAGCTTACTGGTGCGGTCGGACCAACCACAAGTTTGAGCCAGAAAACAACAGAGTGTAATATCCTGAACTACGGGGCAGTTAACGATAACTCCACAGATGCCGCTGATGCCATAGAGAAAGCTTTCAAGACATGCGTCCTACCTCACGCGGGAAGCCGGCTTATTGTCCCTGATGGCCAGTACCTGATCAAGCGCACGGTGATTCTGTCGAATGGAACCAACTGGGCTTTTCAACTCGACGGTCTCATTACCCTAGCGTATGGCGGCAACTGGACTGTTGATCGTGAGTTGATCTTGCAAGGCTTCGCTGGAGTTGGGCCGCTGAACGCAACCATCAACGGCGAAGGCGATGGCCAATTTCTGCAGAACGGCATCACAATCATCAATCGTACGTTTCTTCTCCTCTCATGTCGTGAGAGTGACTAACACTGGTAGCCGTCGACTTCGAGTTTTACTCCAAGAATGGGAAGGGTGCCATTCAGGGTCAAGGCTACCTGTACAGAAACCTCGCCAAGTACGGAATTCAATAAATCACCCATTCACGATGATTCATATGAATAGCATTTGCTAACGACTCGCAGCACTTTCCGTCCCCGACTGATTCGCCTGATTTCTCCCATCAACACTGCAGTCCATGATCTTATTCTGGTTGACAGTCCTAAGTTTCATATTGTCTTCGATTTTGCTGTCAACCTTGAGGTTTACCACCTAACAATCCGAGGCGCTAACCTTGGCTCATACGATGGTGTCGACGTAGTGGGCACGAATTACTGGATCCACGACATTGAGGTACATGTCCTGCACGATCCGGTTTCGAGTCAATTGCCAATGTTGACTTGCTGCTAGGTCACCAACCGAGACGAGTGCGTTTCCGTCAAGAGTCCTTCTAACCATGCTTTGGTAGAAAATTTGGTCTGCAACCAAGCAGGATCTGGAATCTCTATCGGCAGTTTGAATGTCTCCGCTTCCATCGCCAACATCGTAAGGATCATATCAGTCGTTTCCGGTTATGCCTACTAAAATTGAGCAGCATGCACGCAACATCAGCATCATTCAGGGAAACAACATTGCATTCATCAAGACATACCCTGGAGGCTCAGGGTATGTCACAAACGTGACATTCGAAAACTTTCGCTCCAAGGCATCTCTCTATGGGTTGGACGTCAACCAATATTGGCAAAACACATTTGAGCCAGATACCGGTGCTGTTGCTCTGAGCAATCTCGTCTTCCGCAACTTCTCCGGTAAGCCTTTATGTCGTAATCTGACGCGGGATTGATCATTGCTAAGAGAAGGAACCTAGGCTCCGTCGCCGATGGTGCTAAGCGGCCACCTTTGTATCTGATCGCTAATGACCTGACATATGCTACAAATGTTACTGTTGAGGAATTCAGTCTCTGGACAGAGTCTGGTACCAGCGTCGTCAATAAAATTAGCAACATCTTTGGCGCCGGAGATAACTCTTATGGGACGGGCAACGGTATCAAATCACTTGCAGCTAAGGCGTCACCTGCACCCTACACCAGTACCTATACTATCACGGCATCACCGACAGGTTGGACGGCCCCTCCGTCGCCAACTTGGGCCTTGCCAAATACCGGATATGGAAGTAAGTCGAAACTGAATGCCATCACCCGCTGCTTTCCGCTAACATCCAGTAGCCGACGTCCCCATTCCGGTCTATACTCCGGCACCGCTTTGGAAGCCCGAAGGCGATTATGACAAGCATTATTGGGGGTCGTTCTGAGAAATGTGGCTCCTCTTGCAGCATATAATAACCGTAAAACCATGATTTTAGGTTCTAATCAGACTCTTCACGCCTTGAGTCACCGTCAAGATGTAGCTAATAGTAGCCCTTGGACATACTATTAATATTTTGTTATGTATGCCTATGTCTAAATTTGGACAGATATCTAGAAGCATATAATCCCAATCATCGCACCTCCTCTTTAGTCATTGTGAAAAGTTATCTTCCTTGCCTCGCCATGGTTCATCCCTACAGCAACTCGCAGGTGCTATAAATTCGAAAAGTCCACTTTGAGTACAACCTGAGTACTAATCAACTTCACGGTAGTATCGATACATGTAGTCTCGTCAGGAGCCTAGCAAGAGACAATTAAGTCTTTGCTAGGAAGGACCTCGCGATGATGATGAAAAGCATACCAAGGCTATCGTGTCAAAGTGATTAAGTAATGCCAGTGAAGGTCGAGACAGCATCGAAAGTTCTTCTACCTAGGCAGGAGGATTTGAGTCAAGCAGCATATCTGTAACAATTTCCTGGAACGTACTGTTGGCGCAATGTTTAGTTCAGACATGCTCCTACAAAATCAAGTTGGCCGTCACCTCGGATGAGCAAGGATCTGTCGCGTATCTTTTGGTGCGAATACGGGACAGTCCAGCCATGAGTCCAAATCTTTTTTGCAGCTGAACAGACATAAAAATCTAGTTGGACTCTTCCAAAGAGCCCAAACCTCTTATCAAAACAGGATGGAACAAGGTGGTGGGACGATCGAACAAAGTTTCTGTATTTATTCGATAGCAGTGCGTGGGTATCTTGGATCTAATCAAGCATGCTGATGCGAATAGCACTCGAGAGAAGCAAGGGATGACATTGATATGTCCTAAATCCCGGAGGAACCATATCTTGTTCATACAGGAGATCCAGTGTCTAACTTGAGATCATGCGAAAGAAAGGTTAGATCCATTTCATCCAGTCCCACACCACTTATGCCAGACTTCTGTAAAATGGCTCTTTCTGCTCGATCCACAACTGTGGACAGTACGAACACCACGCTCGAGGCCCTGAACAGCAATAGTCAGAAGTTTTGACCCCCATGTCACCCAGAAACAGAGACACGTACCACGTAACCATCCCATACGCCAATGAGGTCCGCCATAACGCAGTGTCGAGTTTTGAAAAGTCGACATAGTTACCAGGGTCCGTTAACACACCATTATGCGTCAAGTATTGTCGAGCCGCCGGCATGGTGGCGTAGAAGCAGAGACCCATTGAGTAAGCAGCAAGGCTCATTATCGACAAACGCGGATCCGATGGTTTGTTAAAGTCTGAGTTGATGAAGACCTCGATACCCAGGGCAGCGCACTGCCGAAGTCGACGTTAGGGTCGTCCAGTACTTGTGGAGTCTACCACTGGGGACACAGTTACTAACTGCTATGATCATAGCGGCTTCCTTCATGTCAAGGAATGTTTGATTCGACACGTCATGATACTTTATAACGTTGCGGTACTCCTGACTTCGTAGCCATGCCGCGTAACATATTGTATACGTGGTAAATGAGAGGTTTGCCATCTGAAAGAATCGGATGACGTGTATCGCACCGCGGAAGAGGGTTCGGAGTGACATATTACTCGATTGCATATGATGTGTTTTTGCAATTTGGTATCAGTCAAATGCACGAGAGCAATATCAGTGTCAATAGACTAGGTGTCAGCGGCAGGCTACCTCTATATAGATTGGCAACATCCGGAGAATTAATTCGATGGGTACGAGCGGGCACTACCCGATGTTTGGTTACATCCGTAAATGTCAGCCGAAGTCGTCATGAGAGGTGGCCCGACTTAATTGCGTTAATGAAGAAGACTGTGTACCGCGATCTAAGCCCGCACCAGCAAGGCGGAGCGGTGTTCCAAGAGACTGACTCGACCTTGGCACGCCCACGCTCCGAACGAATGGGATCACTGCCCTCTTCCGGCCGGAAGCGTTACAGAGCAAACCAACTGTGGTATTCCCGACTTGCGCGCAATGTCTCGCTACGCTTGGCACTATGGGTTTCGTGGCACGGTTGAATCTACCGCTACTCGCGTACCACGTTCATCCCATTCAGACATGAAAGAGTCTTCCACCTAGTTGCGACTGCGGATGTTGGCCAAGGCATACTCACCTATAGAGCTTTGATCGGTATATGAGGCCAAGATCACATCCTCTCCCCGAGCAGAATTTCTGCGCTATGTTCAGATGCTGGTTCTCCCGTTCTTTCAAGATCTGGCGCTAGAGTAACCTTCTGACTCGAGAGTTGACACTCCGAGATAGAATTCCATCACGATTCGAAGACGTCCAAATTTAGATAGGACTTCAATCAGCTGAAACCCTTTGAAAAACATCCACAAGACCATAGTCCTTCACGCTGCTCGCAGCTATGCCTCACATTTGGGTGCCATCGCGAAGCCTCAGAACCAGGAGAGCGCATACTGGCATACCTACCTCATATGTCAGCTGTATATTTCGCAGCTCTTTGACATGTCGAAGCTGCACCTTCTTTGTCATGATTATGGATCGGCGGCTAGTCCTCCGTTTTTGAGACATACTCCCATTTGAAACTCGATTTGTGGAGTCTCAGTCAAACTAGTTGCGCCCACAATCTTGGAAGCTATCGTCAGCACTTTGTGCTTAGTCTTATCTTTGGGCGCCATGAGAAGAGGCATGTTGGTTGCGACGCCTGAAAAGGCTGACTCGCTCGCCACCTATCAAATCGTAGTAAAAACTCACCAAAAGCATGTCCGCATCTTGTGTGTGGGCATTCCTGCAAAGCGCATGCAGAAAAGTGTGAAGTGATCTACAAAATGCTCCTCTAAAGCCGAGAAGGAGGGATGGAAGCGCTGGAAATAAGCAACACTGCCTGGGTTTTCTGGTCGCTGGACGCCTTCCACCGACAGGCCGCAGCAGCAGTTGCCTTTTTCGCATAAAGTACTTGGCAGCAGGGCTGAAAATCGGATTCATCTAGGACACCTCCCCAGGCGAAAGCTCCCACTCCAAACACAATCATCTTCTTCAAACCATAAAGCTTTGGTTATCAGACGTCCATTATGGCCGTCGACGGCTCGAACTGTCCCGAGGACGGCAACTCAACAGACTCCCCTTCCTCATTCCTGGACTCAGAAGCTTTTGACCTGGAAGCAATGGATTCAAGACTCCCAGCCAAAGTACGAGGCTAATCCTGCTGCCACCTGGGTTAGGTTTTTTGAGAAGGTTGGCCTCGAATATCTTGATAACCCAAAATACAAAAGCCACCTGCAGTTAGTTACCGCGGACTATCTCCCAGATGATCTTATTGCTGCTCCTGCGTATGGACAGGTTGGAGCTATCATTGCAGCTGCAGCAGCGACAGGTGCTCAAGTCAAGATGACTGACGACAAGTCTCTTTACCCAGTAATTCTTGGGCGGCAATTCCAGTTCGACTTCCGGCAGCACCCTACCCTTGGTACTATCGGTGCATATGCACAGTTTACCCAGAGAGACCGCGATGGGAACCCATACGCGGATACAAGTTCCAGCTCAAGAAACATGAATTTAGAAGATTCCTCGCCACCAGGAAAGCTGGCCATGGCCATGGAACACCGTCGCGGCGAGATTTGTCTTGAAGATGGTGTGATACTCTTGTTCAATGAGATGCCCCAAACTTCACTAAACCTATTCAAAGAAGCTCACCGCTTTCAGCTTATTGAAAGATTGGGAGACCGAAATCATAATGGGGATCATTCCCTTCCCAGTCTTAACGGTATCGACGACGTGGACGTTTACTGCCCGATCATCATCTTTTTTCTCGCTGCTACACCAATGTGCGCTCCTGCGCCCTCCTCGGCTTCAATCCTGGAAACTAAGTTGCCTCTCACACCGGTGGGACCCAATGGAAGATATTGGTCAGCACTATGCCTGGAAGCTTTTGACAATGCGACGCCCTCTGAAAGGCCGATTGGTTATGAACAACCACAATGGTCTGGGTTCCATAAATATTGGAATACTGTCATGCCTCTGGGAATGCACAATGTCCTCAAACTCGAGGATCCAATAGCTTGTGTTCCCTTATGGGTCAGCTACATGCTGAGGGAATCTGATCGAATATTGGCGCCAATACCACGACAACGAACGAGAAATGTCGATGCCATAAGCCAACAGCTTGAGACTTCTCGAAGTCAGGACGAAGAGATCGATGACCAGAAAGTCGCCGAGAAAGCTATGGACGACAGGATCCCAAGAAGGATGAACGAACAGGGGCTGATTTTGGAGGCTATTTAGGGCGACGAGCTGGGGCTTCATGTTTGCATCAATTTTCTTCGGAACCCTTCCAAGCTCCTGAAATGATTTGCTACTTCTTCAGCCGGCAACCAGAAAGAAATTCGATCCAGGACTCACAGACAGCTGGTGAAGGTTCAGGGCTGGCTCGAAAAGAGAGGGAGCGAGCATATCAAATCTCGCTCAGTCTTACTCTCCAATCGCTGTCATTCTTTTGAAGGCGCACAAGGCAGTGGATGAAGACCATGCCCCGGAACGTTACACAGCCCCAGATAATCCACACTTCGTGGACTACGGCTCACTACCAGACATGAATCGGGATCATCTTCGTTCCTGTCATTCAAATGCGTTACATTCTCTTCGCACTCTACTCGAAATTTTCGATCTCGACGAAAGCTCTTCACACCACATCAATGAAGTTAGAAAATTCTCCGAAGACAATGACATCGGCTGGCTAGGCACTAATGTGCCGCAAGAGCATCAGGAGTCTTTCCAACAAGTTCGAGATAAGATAAAGAAGCATCGGCGAGACCTTTTGCACTACTTCAGCTTCCAAGACTTGAGCCTTAAGAATTGTGTCCTGAACGTTTATTGCCTGTTAGAAAGATTGGCCATTGTGGTAGCTCATAATTCATCTTCAGAAGACAACTGCCCAGAAGGGGGACGACTGGCGGAGCTTGAAAGTCCGCACAATAACACCGACGATATAATTATATACCGGTACCTAATGCTGGCCGTTTTATTCCGAACTACTCCTAATAGTAAAAAGATACTTCGCTCAGGGGTATAGGACCAGGTGGTGCCCATAATTTAGACCTCCAGCTAAGAAATATTATGTAATTAATTATCTTAGCTAGATACTCATAAATTTTAACACGTTAATAGGTAGGACTTTGGACAAGAGGCAATTTCGATTTTCGTTTCTAAATGCCTCTTAGATTAACATCCGTTTTTAATCCTTTTCTATTATAATAAGTTATAAAATAGCCTAATTATATACGCCTTTCTCGTTATTCGATTTATATACCATTTATCTAATAATAAGTTAGAATACCCCTATTCGGCCACCCCCCCTATTTAGCTACCCTAAAAATCCCTCCTAGCCCCCCTAATTAAAATCCTACCCTCAATTTATAAATTACTATAATAATTATAATTATTATCTAAATAAATTTCTTTTTAGTATATATATTTTTTATTATATTATAATATTATATATTAAAAATAAAGTTATTCGAGCGCTCGAGGTAGTATTATAACTAGCTAGTTGTAGTAAGTATATTAATAGAAGTTAAGGCTACGAGTACTAAATAAATAGTATCGTAGTTATAAATAGCTTCTCTAAAGCTATATCTATAAGTTATAAAGTAAATAAGACTTCGGTAATTAATTATAATCTTATTAAAAAAGGTTCTTAGTAAAGATAGCTAAAAGCAATTATAAGATTTAATACTAAGTTAATTATTAAAGAAGCTATAAGAAATCTATCCTTAAGCCCGGCTTAAGTTTATATTATATATAAGTCTCGTTCTTAAATATATCTTTTATTTTTTAAGTTATCCTCGATTATTTTAATTTAGAATAATCGTTCGGCCCCTAAGTCGTATTAAATTATTCTAATTTAAAATAATCCTTATTTTATTAGTATATAACTTATTTATAGTTCTTCTGTTTTATAAAGAGTAGCCGTATTCTTATTTTATTTATATATATAATATATTTAGTTACCGTAGCCGGTAGGCTAGCCTCTAGGTTAGTTATATATATTAAGTCGTAATATTAGCTTCTCTTTTTAAAAATCTAGTCCCGTAGACCTATAAATAAGTAGTTATAGCCTAGGTTAAGGTCCGTTAAGTTTATTTCTATAATATTCTAATACTATATTAGGTCGTGTTTAAAAGTCCGATCTTTATAAAAGTCGTAGTAATAAGACTAAACGTAATTATAAAGCCCTTAGTATTCTTATTAAGTATAGAGGTTACGATGCGATACTATATTCTCTTTATTTTTAGTATAACTGAGTATATAAAATAGATTTATTAAATTCTAAGCGTTATAGTAAGTGCGCTACTCGGGGTTTATTAAATTATAATAATAGTAATATGGCGAACGCTTATAAGTTTCCCCTTTTTTTTTATTTTTTTTATAAGATACTAATTTATTATAATAAATCGTTATTTTAAGGAGTAAAAAAAGATAGAAGTTAAGGAATAGGAGGCTAAAAAAGCTCTAGAGGTCCTATAAACTTAATTTATAATTACTCTTAGTCGTTTATTTTGTTTAAAAAGGTAGAAGCGATTTTTTAAAGAGCGTAGTTCGGATCTTATTTGTTATAAAATATAGTTAGTTAAAGAGTAAGAAGCCGAGGAGAAATTTTTAGAAGCGTAAGAGACGCGTATTATAGAAAATTTAGTTACTTAGGGTATTTTAAACGAGACTAATTAGTTTTCTTTTAGTACTAGATTTATAAATTTAGGGCTTCTAGCTATGAGTAAGCCTTCTGGGGCTTAGCTATTTTTTTATAGTTGTTAAGAAGCTATTGGGCGTTTTGGAGGTTATTATATAATTCTTATATATTCTCTTTATATCCGTAGTTTTTTTATTTAATTAGGAATTCTCGCGTTTTATTCCTAACTTTATAGTTAATAATTTGTTTAACTTTATATTCTAGTTAGTTTAGTTTAACGATAATATAATCTTTTATATATAAACCTTTTAGTATAGGCTTAAGTAATAAAATATAAAAAACGGGATAGTATCGTATCGTATTTAGTAATCTTAATTCGTAATTAATTAGTAAGACTTTTTTAATAATTTCAAAAGGTTTAAGTTTTTTATAGTTTAATTTATTACTTAGTCGTTTCGTTTTAATATTATAATAAAAGAGATAGGCGCTATCCCCCTTTTTTAAAGTTAGTTTTTTAATTTTTAATCTATTTACATTCTTTTTTATATACTATTATACGAACTCGAGGTTTATTAATACTTATTTATAGATCTCCTTAAGCTTATTTATATTTATTATAGCTTTTATAGCCTATAATCTTTATCGTATTTCTTTGTATATTATTAGTTAGAATCCGTAGTTAAGGTAGAACGGGGATTCTCTTATACTCTCGCTAACTATATTATTATATACGAACTAAGCTATTAGTAAAAGTACTACTTAATTATCCTAGTCGTAGTTTATATAATAACAAAGGTATATTTCGAGGATTTAGTTAATCCTTTCTATCTATTTATTAGTTTGTGGATAAAATAATATTAATAGTTTATAGTTTATACTAAGTTACGAAATTAGAGATTTCTAAAACTTCGAAATAAATAGCTTATCTCTATTAGAGATAATTTCTTTTGGTAAACCGTAGTTCGAAAGTATAACCTTAGTAAATATATATACTAGGTTTTTTGTAGTATTTAATTCTTTATAGGGAATAAAGTGGGCGAACTTAGTAAGTCGATTAACTATAACTAAGATATTATTGTACTATATTTTAGTAAATAGTTCTCTAGACTTTAGTAGTTTAATAATAAAGTCCTATATAATTAATTATTATATTTTTGTTAATAATTATAATAATTATAGCTCGTTATAAAGCTTATACGGGCTATTTTTATTTTTTTTATAAGTCGCGCAGTTTTTAATTATTTTTATAATTTTAGCGCGTATAGCGGATTTATTATAATATTAGCAAATCCGTTTTTATATTTTAGTAATTCCTTAGTAACTATATACTAGTATATTATAAATTTTTATAATAAGCTTAGGGGTTATTTTTTTAATCGGGCTAGTATTAATCCTTTTAGCTATTATAAGAAGTTTTATAGTTAATATAAGGTTACTATCCTTTTCCTATTTAAAAATAACTTATATTTCTTTAGGGACCGTAACTTTATAATTAGGTTTTTTGTTAAGAGCGTCTATTTTACTATTTTTTAAACTTTTTTAATAAATAATTTAGAAGTTATACTTAGATAAGAATTCGCTCTATTTAACTTATTGTTTATTTAGGTTCTTATTTATTATAAAGTTTACGAGGTTTTTATAGTTTATATAAACTATAACTTCGTATTTAGTTCTAGATAACTATAGTCTCTATTTTTAAAATGCTTTAATAATTATTATTAGTTCTTTATTATAGATTTATTAATTTAATTTTGCTCCGTAGAATATTTTAGAATAGAAGTAATATAGATAAAGCTTTTTTTATTTATTTTGTTATCTTAAGACCGCTCTTATAATAAAGTTTAAAGTATCGGTTTCGATTTTAAAAGGTTTTTAAAGGTCTAGGATTATAATAACTAGTTCGGAAACGATTATATTCTTAATTTTAACGAATGCTTCTTTATACTTAGGATCCTAAATAAATAGAGTATCCTTTTATATTAAGTTATTAAGAAGTTTAATTATATTAGTATAGTTCTTAAGGAATCGTTAGTAGAAGTTAATAAATCTTAAGAATCCTTATACGTCCTTAACGTTTTGTAATATAGGCTAGTCCTTAACTATTTCTATTTTTAATATTTATATATAGATTTATCTTAGTATAATAGTATATCTTAAGAAGTCTACTTTCTATATATAGAACTCGTATTTAGAGGGTTTAGCGTATAGTTTAGTATTTTAGAGCTTTTAAAATATTATATAAATATACTTTTTATATATTTCGAGGTTAGGGGAGAAAATAAGAACGTTATTAATATAGATAATAATAAAAATATTGATATACTCTTAGAGTACGTAATTAACTATTGTTTAAAAAGTTACTAGAGTATTAGTAAGTCTAAAGGGTATAACGAGGTACTCAAAAAGTCTTTTATAAGTTTAGAATACCGTTTTTTATTTATCTCTTTTTTTAATTTAAATTTAGTTAAATACTTTTTTAAGATTTATAGTAATAAACTAGTTAGCTTTATAAAGTAGATTTCTGAGCTTAGTAATAAGTAGTAAGGGATAGTAATTCTTTTTTATAATTTCGTTAAGTTTTTTATAGTTAATAATA